AATTATTAATTAATTTTTTATTTTTTGTTATTAAAAAAACTTAAATTCAACGTCAATTTTGACAAGCAACTGCAATATTTGGATCTTAATCACCATGGTAACCGAGTCAAGTTGGATAACCTTAAAATAATAAAATTTTATTCCGATTTTTTTATCAATTCTAACCTAATTTTTATTAATTTTAAAACAATTCGAATTCTTTACGATTATCTCGCATTCATAACAAATTCGTTAATTGTAATTAATTTAAATCGATTCTAATTAAGAGAAATAAATTAAAAATATCTTTTTTTTGATTTAATCCACTTACCTTGTTTATAATTCCCTAGATAAACTAATTTTGAGTTAATTACAGCCTTTTAAACCAATTAAATAAGACTTTTTCCTTAAAAAAACTTAAATTCAATTTCAATTTTGACAAGCAACTGCAATATTTGCATCTTAATCACCATGGTAACCGAGTCAAGCTGGATAACCTAACAATAATAAAAATATAACCATTAATATTTCGCTTTATATTTTAATATTTGTAATATCTGCTGATTTTCTGAAGTTTTGCTGTTTTATATGTAGGTATTCTCTATCATTCTTTTTTGTGTCTTAGATATCATTTCTGCACTAAACCACAGATATCTGATACTTACCTATTTTAATTCAATGTTTAACAGTGATGACCACACCAGTTAGAAATCAGTTATCTATCAGATCGACATTTTCCTAAAGTCAATTTACAAAAATAACATCAAATCTGATTCATTAAATAGCCATTTTGTGATTATTGTGTCAAATTTGACACTTTAATGTCATCCATCAAGTAAAATGTCAAATTTGCTGCTGAAATTGTTGTTCTCAAGTTTCATGTGGAAAATTTGCATCTTGAAACTCTTATGGCTGACATTTAGTTGGCAAATTAAATAATTAGCATTATTGACACTACTGGGTTACAACAGAAGATTCCTTCGCTTTTAAAACACTATATTTTTGAAACTATTGCTCCTACAAACATGAATGAAACATCAAAATAATTGGAAACTCTCCAAGTTTCTTGCACATTCACAAATATTCTTCTACATGCCAACAGGGAGTTGAGACAGCTGCCCTAAATAATAAAGGAAAAAATGGTGGATCATTCGCACCAACACGGCCAAATCAATCATGAGGAACTTTGTCATTCAGATATCTGTGAAGTTTTATACTCCAATGAGAGAAAACTTGGAGAGTTTGCGATTATTTTGATATATCATACATGTCTGTAGGTGTAATAGTTTTGTATATACAGCGTTTTAAAAACAAATCTTTTTATAGTAATATGCATAATTATGATGTTAATGGTAGTTATCTTAAAAAACTAATAAAAATATGCTTTAAATTTAAATAGTAATCATTATTTATTTTATAAACACAACAATAGATAAACATCTAAAATATTAACCCTATGATTCATTATATTTACGACTTTTTATTTTAGATTAAAACCTTCAAAAAAAAAGAACATAAAATGTACAAAACATAAAAATGCAAAACACAATGAACACATTATAAAAGACATTATACAGGATATTAATTAATATTTACTTAAGGTTATAAATAATTTACATTTAATACCCTGAATATTGCGATTTTTCTAAAACTTTAAAATTAAATAATGCCCTAAAAATGCGAATTAGAAGAAAATTGTGTGAAAGAAATGTATAAAATGGAAAGCATTGTACCACTTAGAATTAATTACAAATATAGATTCTAAATTCTAAGATTTAAGACATAAACAACGACGTTGACATATACATACATTATTTAGAGGTACATTAAAGTGAGTGCATCTTTAAAATTGGAAATAAAGGGTTTTTGGAAATATTGCACATTTATTATTACACTTATCTACATTAATTAATTAGCGAAAAGACAACACAAGAAAAATAAGAAAAAGAGAAACAAAGAAATTGAAAAATAGCTTTTTAATCCATAATAAATAAATATATCAATTACTTTTATTAACATTCTAAATTACTTGTTTACAAATCCACAAAATTCGTACAAAAAATAGTTTTTTTATTCATCATCCATTTTCTATAATTCCTTTTTTCCGTTCTAAATGAAAAGAAAAACAATGTAAAGTACAATATTACAATAAACACAACAATAAAAACTATGGCTCAATACATACAACAACTTCATTTCTTTTTTTTTATATTAATTTATTTCGAAGACGAAAATATTAAATAATACTGTCTCTCTCTCATTTATTTTTATTTATCCGCAATAATCAACTTAGGTACCCATATTAAGGAGGTTCCTATGTCCCAAAGAGTCCTTTAAAAGTTGATAAAGTTCGAGTTGTTGATCTTGCTTTAAATACAAAATCTGCGTTAAAAGTTTTTGTGGACTATCATTTCTTATAAAACTGCTTATGTAAACGTTTACGAACGTTGCCATCAAAAATTGACAATCAAAACGATCCATTATGCCTCCGTGACCGGGAATTACATCACCAAAGTCTTTTATTTTAAAAGCTCTCTTAAATCCTGATGCGAAAAATCCACCAAAAGGACCTATCACGCTACTAAATAAACTTAACGAGAGCGAATGTAGAGCAAAAGGATAAATTTTTACTGTTGGTTGGATCCCAATCTTAAAAATAAAATAATTAATTAAAATTGATTTTTTATGATTAATAAAAAAACTTACCATGCTTAAAGGCTCCGATAAAAATCCAGGTAAAACGTATTCTTCTAATCTAAATATCGCGCTTGGTTCACAATCTAAAGTCATCCCAACTGTTTCATTATAAGAAATTGGACAAATAAAATAAGGAAATCGGCACATCCACGAAGAAATCTACAAAAATCTCAATTAAAAATCACTCAACCAAAGCGTTTAAACATTTTTTGTACCAAAAAGCCAAAGAAAATAGTTGAGATTCCACCTCCAATAAAACCCTCCCAAGTTTTTTTCGGTGATAATTTAATTAACGGAGTTTTCCCGAAGAAAAATCCAAAAACATACGCCATAATATCATTGCAAATAATCATCGAAACGGGAACTATAAACCAAATCATTCCTTCGAAAATATTTTTAATAATCAAATAAGATTGGGTAACGACGATTAATAAAGCGACGTGCGTCCACGCAAATAACGAAAATTGTTTCATGTAGTATTTCTTAACCAAGCTCAAAACGAACCAAACGAAACCAATGCAGTACAAACAAAACGAGATGAATCTGTGGTAAGTTACAAGGACTCGCAAGAAATCCGTCCGGTTTATCATCACTCCTAAATATTCGACCAAACTTTCCCAATAAAAAAAATAATTTGATGCGACCAAAAAATACCATGATAATGATCTAAACCATGGTAAACCGTGTATTCTGTATACAGCGTAACCAATGTTAATTATCTCTTCAAAACATTTTACTTGAACGACAAGAGTCTAAAAGAATTTTTATTGAGGAAATTGAATTTTTTTTTAAACGACTTTATAACTTACCGTAACGACTAGTGCTAAAGGTCCATAATAAATCACAATTGCAAAAAAAGAAATCATAATGATGCTAAAAACCCCGCGAACAACCCAATTTCGCCATCGATCCGGAAGATCGGCAAGAAATTTTTCAAACATTGAGGGGGCTTTGTTTGTTCCGCTCGGAATTGTTGATGATAAATCGATTGATTGTTTTTTGCTGTCTGAGAAGTTTTTGTCATCTTCGCTATCAATCTGAAAAATATAAAAAAAATTATGAAATGTATAATAAATGCATAAGTAAGCAGTGTTTCAGGAATCTCCCATTTATAAATTTTCTTTGGGAAAGATATTGGACCTTAGAATAATAATAAATGTTTACTAGATCCCGCAGGAAGAAGAACAGAAGATGATTAAATTTTTATAATGTTGTTTTATAATGTGTACTTTTTATAAATGATTCTAATATTACTTTTACTCTTGATATTCCGCTTCGGCGTCTAAAGATTTGCTTCTTCCTTGATATTGTGCTTCTGCACATTCTGTACTTTTTTGGAATGAACCTAATATCACTTTTACACTTGATATTCCGATTCTGCATCCAAAGATTTACTTCTGACATTGATTCTTTGCTATGATATTACTTCTACTCCATATATTCCTCTTCTGCCGCTAAAGATTTATTTCTGTCAAGTTTTTTTTTTGGTTCTGCGTATATTATATTCCTGGACCTAGAACTAGAATCATTCGGGTTTAGCTGTGGGTCTCTTAAGACGGCTATTCAGCGCCTGGCAAGAGTAGAACTAACCCTAGACCTTGAACCAGAATATTTCGGGCTTAGCCGTGGTTACTTTAAGCTATGAATTCTTCCATCTTCAAAGATTGGTTCATAAATAAAACTTACGAAAATAAAAGATAATTTAAAGAATCAGAAAACGCTATTTTCATCATCACTCAGCACTCTGTGTCCACTGCTGGATATAAGCCTCCCCTATTACCGCCCATTTCTTCCTGTCCTATGCTGCCTGGATTCGGTCATTAGCAAATCTCTTGATGTCATCCGTCCATTGAGTCCTCTACGTTGTTTGTCAGCTCGAGGTCTCCATTCCAACAGCCTTTTCATCCACCTTTCATCTGTCCTGCAGGCTACGTGTCCAGCCCAGTTCCATTTGAGCCGATGTACATACTTCCTTCAGCTCACGCAACATCAGTTTAATGTCACCGAGATTATCAGCGGTCAACACAATGACATCCGCAAAACGGAAGTTTGTTAGCCTTCGACTGTCCAGTTTATTCTTCCAGTCCAGCTTCTTGAATGCATATTCCAGGGTTAAATAGCAATAAATAGCTTAGGAGACGTCCTGTCACCCTGCCTTACTCCTCTACCAATCTAGATATGTTCAGTCCCATCATGTAGTTGTACCACCATAATCGCTTTTCTGTAGATGTTGTAAATTAGCTTTGAGTATCGATCGGCATTCTCTTAAGAAAACAAGGGTTCCTTCAATTTGGAATAAAAAGTCATACCTAATAATTGAAAGCTTAGAGAAGCAGTATCCACGTAAACTGCTCTCCGAGTTTTCTGGAAAAACGGAAACTGAAGAATTTTGTGCTGCTGTAAAGTCTATCGACATGAAAGGTGTAATTTACATACCCAGAAAAGTATATAAAGAAATTCTTAGCGACAAAGAACTTATCTGTATCAAGTTAACTGAATCATGTAACTGCACAAGATGACAATGTGGCATTTACTGATTCGAACAAGTTTTGGGTTATCATCAAATTGCAGAAACAGTTACGACACATCAGTGATAACAGTGAAGAACTCCATTATCGAAAAGATAGATGGCGAACACCATGAGAAAACAGTAAGTGATGAAGAGAGAAGATGCTCAAGAGTTAGACTGTTTAATAGACTATTGAGAAGAAGATTCAAAAAAAAATTGGGATATGTGTGGGACTACAAATTATATGAAGAACCCCAAAGCGCAAAAATGTAAAGTAATTTTTAATACTAACTTCAAGAGGATCGCAAACAATGACTATTTCATTTATGTTAGCCGAGGACTAACTGTTGTGGTACAAACATTTGTAATAACGAGATAGGGTATTTCTAAAACGAATTAATGTCATGGCTGAATTGGCTCAAGCCGTACAGAAAGCCTGACTGTATCCAAAGTGACAAGAAAAAAGAAATTTATTGTTCAAAAACTTTTGAACTATGGTAAGATGATAAGGTGATCAATAAACACACTTAAAATAGAGTTATTTTATGATCACATAGAAATACAACGAACATAAAAAAAATGTCGGTTCAATTATACAGACAATTAAAGTGAAAATTAAATATTATTAACCAGTTACCTGTAAAATTTATTTTTACAATTCACTCACAAGGTGACCAATTTAAATTAAGTAATGACGAGTGTACACCTCGAATGCAATGCAAATCGTTTCAAAATAAATCTAATACAAATATCAAAATAAATTTTATTGGTTACAAAATTAACAACAAATTATTGATAAACTTAGAATTACTAAAAAAATAAGAAGCTACATAGACAGGACAAAACTCGGTGATCTAATAAGCATTATAATCCAAATTTAAATATTTTATAATTTAAAACAAATATTTACAGAGCCAGTTCAGCTGCCCAGTCCATTTATTCCCAACTTCGTTTACTGTTATTGTTTATCCTAAAACTTTCCGCCTTTGATGTAAAATAACAGAGACATAACCTATATTATTATTATTGCTGCCGGGATGAGGAGAGCGGCCACTCTCGTTACCGCGACCTATAAAATCTATTGTAACTTTAGCCCTCCAAAAGTTTAGGGCAAATGTAGATCCTTGATGAACCTTAGTATTGCCCTGAGGTCTTGAACCTTTCAAAAGAGTTTTACCGAAAATGTTGTGTCTTAGACGGCCTTTGGCGACGCAATTGCACAGTATATGTTCAGCTATTTCTGACCCGTCGTTGCAAAGTCGACAAGTTTGATCCTCAGCTTGTCCAATGTGGAAGAGGTAGTATTTTAGAGGCGCAGGGCCGGTCAGGTAACCTGAGAGCGTCCTTAGATACCCTTTGCTGAGGCATAAAACCACTTTAGTTTTGTTTTGCGACGGAGTTATCATACTCTTTGCTTGTCTGTGACTTGGAAGTTCTTTTCAACGTAAGGTACCTTTGAGACCTCCCAACTGTTGACTATTTGTTTTAGGTGGTTTTTTTTTTGTAGTCCACAACCAGGTTGGGGTCCAATGTAGGGCTGTTCGCTGTCTCTCTGGCCAGCTTGTCCGTCTTCTCATTGCCCTCAATGTTGCTGTGACCTGGAACCCACCATAGGGTAACATCATTGCTCCTAGTGAGTAAGGGTACACTCTCTGATCAGTGCGGAGTCAAACGTGTAGGCCTGAATTGCCTTTAAGGCGGCCCGACTGTCTGTGAAAATGCTTATGGATGCATATTTCTGTCCCTTCTGTAGTTTCAAAGCGGTGCAGAAGTTTATAGCAAGAACTTCTGCTTGAAAAATGGTTATGTCCGAGCTGAGGGGCAGTTTAATGTAGCTATTTGGTCCACTGATGCCCATACCTACTCCGGATCTAACTGTCTGTGAAACTGTGTACCAGGCTAGGGCTTCTCTTTTTAGTTGAGACCCACCCTTCGCCCAATCATCGCTGCTTCTAAATATAACCTTATACGGTTGGTTGAAATTGTATTCTGTCGGTGTGAGGTCCGTTTTAATTTCAATCAGGTGATTTAGACATGAGTCCTTGAGGATTTCGAGGTTCCCTGCATCAACAGTGAAGAAACTGTTTTCAGTGATAAGGTACTTGAAGCTGCCTCCTTTTGTATATACAAATGGAGTGGTGTGAGACCGAATAGGGCTTCCAAAGCAGCCGTCGGACAAGATCTCATTGCACCCGTTATATTAAGACATGCTAACCGCTGGATTTGTGCCAGCTGTTGTTGTGCTGCCTTATGTTTTATTTTTGGCCACCAAACCAATGAGACGTAGGCGACCATGGGCCTAATTATTGCTACGTAGACTCATGGGCCATTTGTGGTTTGAGACCCCAGTTTTTTCCTAGGAGTCTGCGGCAGATCTGGTTTGCCATGATGGCCTTTTTCCTTCACCTATATTTAAATATGTATATTTGTTCTATCCCCAAATTATGTCCTAGATTATTCTTCTTCTTATTACGCCCTCTCCTTTTGAAGGTCGCCGATTCAATTAGCGATGATAATTTTGAGGTTGCAGCCCGGAATACCTCTATGGATGAGCGACTAAACCAACGTCGCAGGTCGTTCATCCATGATTTTGACATCTTTCTACAGCCATTCTAGAATCATCTCGGCATCTTTTCCCTCTATTTTGCCTTCAATGATTAAACAGAGAACATGATACCATTCGCCTCTCATTATGTGCCGTATATGTTATAATTTACGCTCCTTTATTGTTCTCAGCAATTCTTTTTCCTTCTCCATTTGATCAAGCACTGTTTCAGTGGATATTTTCTCCATTCATGAGATTTTTAAGATTCTATTGACCAATGATGGGCTGAGCGTCCAGCTTTCTGATCTGTACAGTAATACTGGAGACTTAAATGTTTGTTTGTAAAGATTTTTTCATTGCGAAGAAAGAGCATATTGCTTGTTCAATTCAGGAGATGACTTCGCAGATGTAGCTTCTGTCGTCTCTTTTACAATAATATGAACGATAGTTTTATTAATTTGGCGGTATTTTCTGCGTAGAATATCCCTCAACTAAATAACTTCCCGAGGTCAGCAATACTTCCAGAAAGCTCAGCAATTTATTTTGTTAAGTTAATTAACTTGTTTTCTAGCAGGTAAATGATGACTTTGCAGCTAATGAATAGCGCAAGTCCAGTTAAAGCAATTACCGACGTGGAAAATCAAGGGTATTATACATAGACAATCAATAATGCACAGTTTACTATTAACAAGATTATTTATGGAACCACATAACACCGATACGAAAACACAAAAACAAAACAAAAATATTATGAAAGAAAATAATTCCATAAATTATTAGTGAAATAAATGATTTGACTCAATTTGACTTTTAAAGTAAGTATTCGAATTCTGAATTTGATTTCACACAATACCATCATTACTCAACAGTTTTTTTTAATAAAAAACAACGTTGCTACGCAATATCAAATTATTACTTGCACATATTATACTTTTAAACCACTCATTTTAATTTCCGTTACGCATCATTATCAAACGATTTATTGATAATCGTATGATTTAAAATCATACGATTATTTATTTATTTTTGATAAAACAATTTCAAATTCTAAATAAAACAAGTTATTAAAAACACCTTAATTTTCTAAATAACTCGGTATTAAGAGTCAAAGTACAATGTCGGGATGTTATTATAACATGCTAAGTTATAATTACAGAGTTTAATTACAGAATAAATAGATATATATTGATTTATTTTAATAATATTTTGGTATTTATAAAAATTTTTGAGTGTGTACTTAAAATTAAACGTGAATGACTAAAATTATCGATCTATTTGTATACGTGAGAGTCAACAACTGGCTTTTACGGTTTGATAACAGCTGTTTCAACATTTTTCGGCATTTTCTAAACCTTGATAATCGATTAGATAAGTCATGAATGCGTAAACTCTCAAAAAGTTCAAAAACGACGCGTGTGGTTTATTGTTAAATAATTAAAAAATTTGTTTGAACTTACTTCGCTTTCGTCGTGATCACTATATTCTGAGAGATCATCACAATCACTATCAGTAACAATGCTAGATGTACTAATTTCTGAAAAATCACTGTCGACTTCGTCATCAGAATAATATTTTTCTTCGATCGATTTAATTTTTTTCAATAGTTTTAATTTCTTTACTGTTTTATATTCTGATTCAACTTCCATTTTTTGGTTAATTAATTTTTTTTAACAGACCTTGACTAACAAAACGTTTCGCCAACATAGAACGCGACTCGTCACTGTCTGCTTTTTAAATGAAACTTATCCATCAAGTGGAAACATCAATTCGTTTTGATTGCAATTGAATGTCTCTCTCTGTATTATTGGTAAAAATACATCAAGTGGTAAACACACTTAATTATTATTTAAGAATATACTCAACAGAATTTATTTTATACACAAAAGAACACAACAATAAACAGGTTTATTGATATAATTAATGTATTTAACGTGTTTAATAATAACTTTTTAACACATTATTTTGCTTTTTATTGTTATTTCTCATTGGACTCCAATTTGATTAATTTATCTAGAATATTTTATTTATTACACATTTATTAAAGATCAATTGGTTTCATTTAAAAGTAATAAATGGAATTGAATCTTTATTGAATGTACAACATTGAGAGCATCTCATTTAATTAATGAAAAAATTACTTGTGAAGTGAATTAAACAACCTAATTGCAATAAATATGTACAAATCATGCTATATTTAATAAAAATGCATGTGTAAGTGGGAGTTTCATCAAAATATTGCATAAATGTAACAATATATGATGAAATATAACCTCACTTTTTAACATTGATGTCAATAATTTCCAAAAAATGTATTCAAGTGATATAATTTAGATCCATCTTAACTCATTTAAGTTAATTTTTTAGTTACAATTACTAATTAATTGATAAATTCGCTAAAATAAACAATTTTTGGTTAAACATAACCCCACTTTTCGCCAATGTCAATATTTATTTGGAATTATAATTTTTATACAAACCTTTTATTTCTTTTGAACCACACTACGTTTCTCTTTAACACGCTGTATGAATTAGTGTTTTATTAATTAAAAATATATAACCAAAAAAATTAATGTGAGAAGTAACATAACCTAAAAAAAATTGATAATAATAAAATGGGTCAAAATAATCTCATAAAACACCAAAATTTTCATTGTAACAAACAAATATTATCAAAAATAACCACAATTTGTTTATTTTAATATTAAAGAAGATAAACCCAACTCAACTGCGGATTGTTTACTTTAAAATAGAACATACCATTTTATAATCTCATAAAGCATGAAATCGCAACTCGATTATTATTACCATAAATTCAATTACGAGGTAAAGGCAACGCGTAAAAATCGATAAATACAATTTTAAAGGGGCACATAACCGGTAAATAGGGGCGACAACTTACGTGATCGCTTTCGGCGGATTCGACGAGCTTTTCTTCGCCTTCCTTTCGTTTTCTCAATTCCGCCATCGTTTCGTCGTTTCTTCCGAGTTCGTTCTTTAGGAAAATGCGGGCCCTAAGAAAACCGCGCGGAGAAAACCGGGCGAAAACTATCTGCGTCTGTAGCGGATTTAAACCATCAACCCGGATTTACCGTCAAAACATTGACGTACAAAATCAATAACGTGAATATAGGTTAAATGTGATGGCGACATCTAGTTGAAATAAAAGCAATTTTATTTTTATAAACTTTGATTGTTCGTAAAGAGATGGCGTAACTATATTTTAAGTTATTGCAAAAATAAATTATTATTTTTATTATTAGATGATTTTAATTTAATTAAAATAAAATGTAATTCAAATTTTTTTTTAATATAAACTTTGTATAATAATTTTGGGTTTTTAATTTTAATAGATTTTAATAGATTCAAGTTGACTGACATACTACTAAAAAGTAATTGTGTTTTTTAATTTAATTTAATTTAATTTCATTTCATAAATGTTTATAAAATATGCTTCAATTAATTAATAATGAAGTACTTCACACTTTGAAAATTAAAAAGAATTTTTTTATTACATGAAACAATTTTACGTATTTAGTGAGTTTTAATTTTTTAAGGTTGGTATTATACAATAAAAAAATTTAAATTTAAATAATATTGATAATTTAAACTTTATATTAATACTCTATATTAATACAATACTTTTTATAAATTATTTAACTTAATCCACAAAAAAAAATTAACAGGAAGTGGATTCAAACCTTTCTATAAACGATTCTAAGGTTACAATAATAATCATAATCATTCTGAGAGTGTAAAAATTAATAAAAACAATATCAACAAGGACACAATCGTTGTGTTACACCTCGGTTACACCTGCCGGATGTATATTCTGTTGGCTAGTGGTCAATTGTAGTGGTCAAAGGCTGGTTAAACTATTGCTAACTAAACACGCCCACGAACCCACGTCTTTTTTGTATTAATAAAAGATATGTATGTGTAACGCAACGATAAAGATCTTTAAAAAGAATAAGGACAAAAAAAAGCGTGTGGTTACGCCCGTTTAAATTCCGTTGTAATAAAACGTACTGGGATTGGAACGGAGATGTGGAATGAAAAATAACAAAAACCGCTAATCGTAGGCTTAATTTGAACCCGGGCAGTCGAAATTGATCGAAATCGATCGCTATCGATCATTGATCTGCTTGTTCTGTTATGTTATAATCCTGTTTAATTGGGACTATTGAAATGTCCAAGGTGATTTTAGTAAAAAAATTGAGCCCAATTAAAAAATGTTTATGTGTTAATATTCAAAATCGCCTACGATAAGAGATATGAAGAAGAGATAACATTTTTAATTTATAATTTGGCTGAAAAAGAATGTTTCAAAGTACCAAGCAGAGCCAAAGTGTAAAATTCTGTTTTGATAATACAAGAAACTGAAGCTATCTGTTCTATTTGCAAGGGCAAGATATAATAAAAAAGAACATTTTATAAATATTTATTGCTCATAAATATTATGCATGGTGTAGCAGATAAAACGTCAACATTTTACAGATATGCCCAAAGTTTCCACCATTACAAGAGATACATGTATCTTTTACTCTCATAGACTAATCATGTCAGAAGCAGCATAGACATTTTCTGATAAGTAGAGCTATTTTTAACTAGACTAGTATTGCATACAAAACAGCTTTAAGTGCTGCACAAAGAAATAATTCAAGCTGCTTAAATCAAAGGTGTCATTTCTTGGTTTTTATTACACTTGTGTTCGGCTAGTACTATATTTATTGAAAGGGAAGGCAGACTTACAATAAATACATGTGCGGGCCCGATAGATAGGAGTATGCTAGATGACAGGATACTAATCAACGCTAAATATTTCAATGTGGGACTTCTTTTCGACGAAACTAGAAGACAAAATCTTCCAAAGACCAACAGGCAACTCTTAGGCAGGCTTATTATTGCACTCAAGCCCTTCAGCCAATAGACAGAAGGTACTTCGACCCTTTTAAGACTTATTTTCAATAGGAGATCCAACTATTGATGAAAAATCTAAGAGTTAAGAGCAGCTTCTGCAGCCAATGCAGCAAACTGCTTTCGAACAACAGAGATCTACCCATTTACACCTAATGCGATCCGAGATTATTTCTTTTCTATACAAAATACTGCGAACAAATCATCTGGCCCACAGGATATCAAGCAATTACTTCTTTTTCGCAGTGCAAAGAGAACGAAGCTGGCAACGGTATTGACGGATCCAGTAAATAGGGGAAAAGTACCAGGAAAAGGGAAGCAAAAGTCTAAAGAAGAGTACAGGCTAAATTAAAAACAACCTAAGCATATAGCGACATCACGCGAGGAAGAAGAAAAATGTGTTGCTGAAAGTTCCAGCACATCTGAATCAAGAAGGGCTGAGGGGATATGTAAGAAAATAAGGACAGTTGATGAAAGAGAATGGAGTGAATGAAAGTGATGATGTTTCTAAAAACTACAAAGGCAGATGATTGGATCTGGTGCATAAGATATCTATGGTGACATGTAATATATGTTCTAGAGAAGATTTCTGAAAGAAAAAATTAAAACTATAAGCTATCCGGTACAAGCTGTTTTGACAAATCGCTTTTAGTTTTTGAGAAATAAATTTTTGAAATGATCGACAATTTTTTCTAATTTTGCAATTTTCGCCGATTAAGTTTTAAAAATTCGTATAAAATCCATTTCTTGGAATATGAGTATGAAAATTTTCCAAAGTGTTAGTAAAAGTGTCCTCTTTCCAATGTACTAACCCCTTTTGAAAAATAA